AATTATCTACACATTGGTATTTTAAGAGAAAGTAAAACAAAAGCACAGATTTTGCTTCGAAATTTAGTAATAAGCAAGAGGCTAAAACAATTGGCTTTGTCAAGGCCAATTATAGCCCAGTCCACTCTGAAGCAATAAGACTCTGGCTTAAGTCAGTTCTATGAATAGAAGCTGCTTTATAGTAATAAAAAATAAAGCATGCGCACACCAATTTCAGTGAAATCTGGGACCATAGTTTCACAGCCTACATTCCAGTAACTGTTGTTAATTATTTAACTGAAACTGTGTACTGTACAAATGCATGTCGCACAGTGAGGTTGAGGTTTATCATCATGGCTTTGTAGACAAGACCACAGTATTATTTCTAAATGCATCTTATTTGCAAACCAAACTATTTGACAGAGATCTGCCTCTTTTGACATCCAAACTCCAGTGGATAACACTGCATAATATGACCTTCTAAATAACAAAGCGATCTACAGATTGGCTCTTTTCAGAACCTCTTAGACATACAACTCTTCATTTGATTTGTGCAATACAATGGAATCTTAGTCTTGAATGAGACCTCATGTTTCATTCGCAGTAAAAATATTTCTTGAAGTTTTACAGACAAAAGATTTTCCACTATCCACAGAAGGCACTGAGTAAGAAAGCCTAAAGTCATAAGGAGAGCATGAGATAAGAATCAGGTAGGTGATGATAACAAAACTTGTACAAAAATTTGTATTGCTATTCACAAGCTTTGCTTGCTATGTGCTAAGAATTGTCACACTATTTCTATAAAGTTCATTTTAGTAGTTTCTGCAGACTGATTTCTCAGAATATAAAATCCACAAAGTCTATCTTTGACCAAAACAGTAGTTCTCAAGCAGCAGTAATATACTTATAAGTTCAGGAGGTGGGAGGAAAGAATCTTGGAAAGTTTCCTGAAGATGGGCAAAGCGGGAAAACTAAAGTTCATTCTTTATTGTGCATCTTTCCTCTTCACCTGGGACAGTTAGTTTCAGTGGAGCTTGAAGCCACTGACAGAACTGCAATACTCCCAATTGCTTAACATCAGGTCAATTGAGTGACTTGCTATAAAGCTTGAGGCTTAGTTTAACCCCAGCTATAAATACACACACACACACACACACATATATATATAGGTCACAAAAATCATGATTTGTGTCTGTAAAGTTTACAGATGATGCTGAAGAAGTATGAAGCTTGATTTTCAGAGGTTATCAGACTCACATCAACCCAGAAGATACTTGTTACCTTCTTCCCTATAAAAGGGCTAAGTCTATAGGATACATAAATCCTTCAAGCGTTCTTGAAATTATGGAATTTCTCATAGCTAAATAACAGAATGCATACAATATTATGGTCAGAATATTTATGTCTTCATCTGTTATTAGAGTTATTAGCATGAAACTATTTCACTTTTTCCATAGCCAACATCCCAAGAGCATCAGATCATGTAATCTTTCCATAGATATACAGGAAAGAAAAATCCAACATTTTGCATGTGGAGCTGCCACTATGCTTTCTGCAGTGGAGGTCTATACCGTCTGAGACCTATCAAAGGACAAGATCCTTCCACTGGCAAATTGTTTACTCAAAAGCAGATCTGGTCAAGGCTCATGTTTTCCAAAGGCATCCAGCTTGCTTAGGTCTTTTTGAAATCCTTTCCCTAGAGGTCATTCATTTGGCTGTTTAGGCTGTTTGTTTAAAAAGCAGAAAACTGACAAGCTAAAAAAAAAAAAAATCGAATTTGTTTCTATGAGAATGTAAGGCAAAGGTCAAGAGCAAAAGGTAATACTGAATTTCATTGCAAGCTTCAGCAGTCACATAACACAATTGTTTTAAAGTCAGCTAAAAAACTTTCTTCTATGAGCTCTTGTTTTTCTGCCATGCAACACTTTGAGGAACTGGGTCTGCACAACCAAAATATTATGCAGAAGCAGTCATTCAACAACAATCTTTAATTTTAGCTGGTAAGTTGTAACCGCATTGTTTAAAATTTAGACAAAAGGTTTGCAGATTATTAACCACAGACAGGGCTGCATATTGGCTTCCTTGCAGACTTCATTAACATAAAATAGGAAAACACAGCATACATTTTCTCTAGATCATTTGAGAGTAGAAAATAAATTTTCTAGCCCTCTCTGCTAAGTGAAACATATAACTGACTTGTTCATGCAGTTGGACAAAATGCTATACAAATATGACGCCACCTAGCCTCATTTGCATTTTTACAAATGTTTTTTCTCTATATTTAAATCTTGTCTCAAATCAAAATTCAATAAAACTTTTCACTTGCGGTCCAGGGGAACACAGAAAGCTAAGCTTTTATATTGATAAGGGGAACTCTATTGAAAAGTATCTATATTTGCCTCTTTTTTATTTTGTTAATTTAAATATTGAAAAAAAAAATCTCGCTTTTTTAAGAGGGCAAAAAAAAAAAAAGAACTGACTCAGTTAGGAACGTAGTGACAATTCACTTCTGAAATCGAAGGGTTTTTGCCACATTTAATCCAAAACAGTGTCTACTGCAACATTGACAGTGCAACTGCATGGCTGCCAATATTGTCTCCAACTGTGATTTTTTTCTAGGTCTTTTCTTGATTTCCCCTCCTCCGAAGACGGAAAACAGTCAACTACTATGCAGATTCCTTTGCCTGACAATTGCAGACGTTTATTTTGTAGCACAGTTGTTATTTCCACATTAATTTAGCAAGAATCTAATCAGTCACTGGAGCAATAGCAAGTTCAGGATTCATAGTCAGCTTCTGCACTGAAATTGTTTTTAATTGCCTTTTTCTGTTGTAAGCCAAGAAATAAAAACAAACAAAGAAGTGCTGGCCACAGTCATGTGCCAAAAAAATGTTGGCTTAATATAGGGTCCAGAACTGAGATAGATTTTATTAAGACTTTCAAAATGTTGCTTAATACCTCAAAAAGCCTGTCTGCAGTGAGATTATGGGGACTAATTTTCTTTTTCAATAAGCCCAAATAGCCCAAGCAGCAAAATTAGACAGACAAAAGAATTCAGTGAAGAAAACATTTTTACTACCTGCATTATTTGACTCTTATCTACAACTTCAGTTCTTCCCTGAACCTCACCCTTCTCTCCACATTGAAGAAAGGGTGGAATACATCAAGACCAATAGCCAGTGCTATAGAATTGTTCCATAAACTGTCTGACATGAATCACGCGGCAATCACTAGCAACAGTTCTACCGGAGGTTGGTTTCCCTTCTCTGAAAGTAATAACAGGCTGTAATGATGTAGTTGAAGTCAAACACTCTCATGGTCCTTGGTTAATCGGCAATTGCAACTGTCACCACCCTTCTCTTCCTATGAGCATAAAATCCCTTACTTACCATCCTTCTCCCAGTTATATCGGAGAGGGAGAGGCTAACAGAACATTTGATCCTAGATTATGCCCAAACTTCAGTGTGTCCTGTACAGTCAGGATTTCAAGTCCTTCAAGATGGGATTTTTTTTTAAAACTCTTCTAATTAGCTTCAAGCTTGAAGCTAATTAGAACAGATGCATTTAGTAACTAACATGTGATCTTCTCCGATTAAAAAAGAAGATGGCACAGTCCAAGGCAACAATGACAATGCTCCTAGTCCAAATATTGCTCTTACTGCATATAGCCAAGCAACAGGGACAACCACATTCATCTCAAGACCATCCTGCACACCAGAAACTTGGTTCAAGATCAAGTATGCTGCAAGACTGTGTTTGTAAGACTTTACAAAATAAAAGAGAACAATGCTCTGAAGTTACTGCTGTCTTTACACGTGCATTTAGGCTGACCTTAGAGGTCTCAAAAAAGCAAATGAGACCCTCTTAACGTAGTTCCTTAGGGTATTATAGTAACTTTAATATTAATATGCATTGCCACACCATCAAGCCTGCAAGACAGAAACTCAGACTTCTTTCAGCAGGTTTGGAGCTTTGATTTCTTTAGTATAACAGAAAATGAGTCATAAAATCTTGACTCTAAGAGACTTTACATCCAGAGCATGTTCAGCATGCATAAAGGTTACTAGACACTGTATTCATACGTAACAAAGGGAGCTGAATCGGCATCTCACTGTTGCAGGATCTGTTGTCTGAGAACACCCAGAAAACAAACTGATAACCGGCAAGTTTCTACAACATGCTGTTTACTTACAAAACTTCGGAACAGCTGGTGGGTTCTTACAGTAGGTAATTCTTCATTGCAGAATTTGTCTAGACCCCATTACAACGTAGCTCTCAATTCTGGGTTATACCAATCTTCTCATCTCTTTTCTACTTTTTCCTAATCAAGTTATCCAACCATTTTCCCCACCTGAAGTACTGCCGAATCAAAGCTTTACTTTGAAAGGTTTAAGACATTCACCATTTGCTTAACCTTTAAGTGATATTGCATGTTCTACAGGTATTTGCAGAGTATTTCTAAAATCATAATAAAAATTATCAGCCCTATCAAAATATTACAACAACCTCTTTAAGCAAAGGAGTAAAGTCAGATCCAGAGGGATTCAGTATTGAAACAGCTTTAATACAGAAGGGTCGCTTTAAACAGTAAACTGCAGTTTTGCAGCATTGGCACTTCAGTTTTTACTTTTGTTCCCACATACACAACATCCTCAGCCTAAGAAAAAGAGCGTGAACACCACTGAGATTCAGAAACTGTGTTTCCTTGACCCACTGTCACCAGAAGTATCCTGCATAGCAGATACCATCAATCACAGGTAGGAACAGGGCTTTCCACAAGACATTCAAGTGATAGTTTTAAGGAGCAGAAACACTAAAAAGCAGGACCGAGGAGAGGCAGTTGGGAATTCAGATGTTTCCCAGACCTCTAACAGAGAGACTAGTTTACCTGTCTTATAAAGCCACTAAACAGCAAACATAGGACTAGAGTAGCAGAGATTTCTGTCACATCTTTAAAATCTTCTGCCCTTAAATTTCTTGGTACACACATACATGCAAACATAAGCTCACCCGGCACAGCAGGTTGTTTAGTAAGGAAATCCACACACACATTTTGAAAATATGGTTTTATTTGAAGTTTACCAAAAATGTCTGAAAACTTATTCAAGAAAGGCACTTCAGACTTTAGTTCTTTTTCTTCTTAGCTTTGGGTCCTTGTGATTGTTGGGATAACTCTGTTTCTTCTGCTTCATCACAATGCTTCCTTTTCTTTTTTTTGGACTTTTTATGGTCACTTTGGTAACCACTAGAGTCACTGGTAGGCAATACATGTTCCTGTTGCTTATGCTTTTCCTTTTTCTTTTTCTTGATTTTACCATCACATATTCCATTTACAGCATCAACTGTTTCCTCTTCTGCATTTTCCCTCCCAGTATTATTTGTATCACCTAGAGGCTCCTCTGAAACAATTTCTCCCCCAGAGTTAATCAAACCATTTTCCTCACATTCAGGCTTTTGGATTTCACCTCCATTTGCACCATCAGTGACCGTCTCAGATCTTTTGCGCTTCAAACTGTAGAGAAAAATAGAAAATAAGCCAAAATCTAAGGACTCCTTTCATAGTGAATTGTCAAGCTCTGTTTTCACTAGACACAGTATTTTCACTAGACACAAAAGAGCAGAAGATCACTACAACGAGCAGAGAATATGATATCAAATTTAAAGCCAGCCTAATTTACGTTACCTCCTTCTTACTGCGATACCATTTTGATACTCCTTTTTTCATTACTATACTATCTAATACCTCAGATTATATAATTCTGCATACTTCCACATTGTGCAGTAGAGTTTTTATTTTTAAAGCTTTTCACAAATTTGTAGACAGTGAGCCCTGAAATTAAACATGGCAGAGACTGATAGTTTTATTAAGGTAATTGCCTTGGCAAAGTCTACATGGTTAGAAAAAAAAAGACTATGCCAGCATAGTGAAAGAGAGGAGAGAAGTATCTAGGAAGACAAGAGAAGGAAGAATTAAGTTAGAATTGTACAGAAGGGGATTCTCCTTGAAGTAGGAGATAAAGAAGAGATAAAACCAGTAAGTTGCATACCAAATTCATTAAAACATACAGAATCTTTGTAGATTAAAAAAGAAAAAAAAAAGGGAGAGAGGGGAAGATAAAAAGCACTCTGATCTCCAAAAGCATTATTATTGCCTTAGCAATCTTTATACTGCATTTTAGATACCAACATAAGCATGTTGATAGAAACAACCACTCATCAAATGACCCTTAAAAAAATGTTTCTGTCAAAGAGATGTTGCTTCTAAGATTTCTCTAGCAAGCTGCTCTGAATAGCTAAAGTCTCTCTACAACCACAAGTTAGAAAAGTGATGTGTTTTTTTTCACTAGTCCATTTTTTCCAGAAGCACTTAAAGCATCTATTTATATGTTTATTCTAGTTTGCCACTAACTCATATTCAGAAAACAGAACATTTTTACTTGAAAAGCTTAAGCATATTCAAAACCAAAGCTCTGCTAGACAGTAAAGATTTTATGTTTCAACACATACCAATTACACAATCAATAATCCACAATTCGGCACACTTATGTAAGCATTAAAAAAAGATCTATTTTTAAGAGAAAATTTCTATGCAAGTCCTCAACACAAGATGTTTACTTGAAGATAAACCCATGCCTATATACAGCCTATGTTGTGTGGGAAAAAAAGGAAGTTTAAAGACTGAAGAATTCAAAGCATTTAGTTTGTAACAAATCAAATCAAGCAGTTAAAAAAAATGCCTCTGGAATAGCACAATACCTGTTTTTAGTCAGTCCTCCACGAATGAAGAACACTCCAGCTGCATCAGAATCTAAGTGCAATACTTCAAACTTCAATTCATCCCCTATTTTTAACCCCAATTCTTGCCACTGTACAACTGACATTTGCTCAGGTTTAGGGATAGAAGCATTGAAACATCCATGTATCAGACAGCCAATATGACTAGGAGCTACTTTATTAATTACACCCTTAAAAAAAAAAGAAAAAAGAATTATATGAAGATACATTAATGATCACCTCTTTAAAAAAGAGATACACAATGCACAACTATAACTACATATAGACACTTTTGAACAACAATTTTCACACAGGTCATTTGCTAAATAAACTTACTTTACACATTATTTTTTCCACATTAAAACCAAAGTTATTCCTAAACTACTCCTGAAGTTACTTCAAAGTTACTTCCACACAGTTTTACTCAAATCAAAAAGACTGAAATTGCCTACAGAATGCGATTAAACTGTTTTCAAAATATGATGCAAAACAAAAAACCCACAGATTTAGCAATAGTAAATACCTACACAGAGCAGTTGAATCTTTCCTCACACTGAAGTGCCCAACACTGTTTTAAGGCCATTTAAAGTCTGACTTAAACATCCAGTACTATCATGCTTGCAGTACAGCTGACAAAAAGTCTTTGATCACTCTATTCTTCTGCTGGTGCCATTTGCATATTTAACCTTATTTGTCTTCACTTTCCCCAGGGATGAACTACACAGAAGGTTCTTCCATTTTCTTCTCATGAAAAGAACACACTTACTTCTCAATTACATTTATAGGGAAACATAAGTCATACTTTTGAGATATAGCACAACAAAAATAAGTCAACCCTCAATTTACTATTCCCTTAATACTGGCATAAGCATGTTAACAAACTTAACGTTCACCCATGACTCATGCATTACTTCTTTATTGAAATGCAGGCTAACTAAAATGTGCTGCTCTTGTACTTGAGGAAGCTTGAAAGCACAACACACTTCAGTCACTGTTACATGAGAATAAAGCAAAGCCATTAGGAATTACATGCTCCATAGAAACACTGATATTTAATAAGCTCAGGGACATGTAATACAGACTATGAAAATACCTGCTATAACAGTACTCAAGTCCCCAAATTCCTCATGACTGCAGTAAACTAAGTTCTGATTATTTAAGGCAAAAAGGCCCCACGAGATGGCAGCCTATCTACATACCACCAGTTTCTTCCCTTTCTTCGGGCTGAAGATGATGAAGTCCGCCTCTATGTTGAGATGGATGAACCCCTGGTCATCGTAAATGTCTCCGAGCTCACCCACGACTTTGATGTTGTCGTAAGCCACGGGCACACCTTGGAGGCTGCAAGCAGGCGAGAAGCCGTTAGGTGTGA